TCTCTCTCTCTCTCTCTCTCTCTCTCTCTCTCTCTCTCTCTCTCTCAGTACCTTCTTTCTGCTACTGTCTGTCCTCCTTGTCTTTGTCGACCTCCTGGTACAAACACACACACACACACACACACACACACACACACACACACAACATAATCCCTCCCTGTCTCTTGCAGGTTCAGCTGTTCGAGAAGATGGTGGAGAGGGAGGACGGCGTAGCGCTCTACAGCCAGTACATGGAAGTAAACTCAATTCCTCAAAGTGCCCGGGATCGTTACATGAGGCTGACCAATGGGATATTCCTCAATGAGATCATGAGGATCATGTAAGATTGATCAAGATGTTCTTGCTTCATTGCCTTGTAGCCATAATACAGACTACAGGACAAGGGACGACATCTCCGAGTCAATCTGTGATGCAAGAAGCCCATTTGAGCTTGATTTAAAAATCTATTTTTTCAAATTTTGGGAAAATGTTAATGTAGAAAAGCAAAAAAAATAAATTTGTGTAACCTTGCAGTTAGTTGCAAAAATTGGCCTTGGCTTTATTAATAGGCTTAAATATGCAGAAATGTCCCGCAACTCATTCTCCAATTGAACTTCAAGCCTATTTTTGAGTGAACAATCGTTTAAAAGCAACTTTCTTTTAGATAGGGATGTTGAAATATATTAAATGTTGGTTGATTGCCATGACATTTAGTACAGACATTCATGTTCCACAGAAGATGAATCTTTACCATAGCGCCACCATTAACATCTGTGCTTTTCAATGAAACTTGCCATATATATATATATATACAATATACTGTATATAGTCCAATTCTGTTCTTTTATATCCAAATACCTTCCCACCTAATGACATTGCCTTTGTGTTTATTGCTCATTAGCATGCTAGCATTAGCTTTTAGCTCAGTACAGCCTCTCAGAGCTGCTAACAGCTGTAGATTCTTAGTTCTGTAACACGCATCACGTTCTCTTTTGTAACCTCACATTGTTTTAGATAATAAATAAATGTAGAACCGAGGTTCTGCACACCCTGTTAGCCCTCTCCCCTGAATTCCTTATCTTTAGCAAACCTTTTCTCTCTCAACAGACAAGATGTGTCAGTCTTTGCCGACCAGCTGATTAATTTGGCCTGACCTAAGCCATGTTATTTCAGCAAATAATTGCACGTGGATTCCCACAGCCTGCTTCTCAGGCTCATTAAAATTGTATTCACTCTGCTTAAATGCACCGTTGCATGAGAATTTCTCATCTGGAGAATCGTGGCGCTGGGCCGTTTGATCAAGCTGCTTTAAATACACCATTGCATCTTTTCTGTGTTTGTCCCAGAGACCCCAACCCCAAGGTGGAGCGGCTGTACGACAACGAGAGAGACGATCACATGCTGAGAGTTCAGAACTTTTCTATTTTAAATCGACACATCAGAGCCTTCTACCAGGTAGGGGAGAGTTACAGGGGCGAAGAGGTTAAGATCAAGGTAAGAGATAATTAGGAGCAAAATCTGGACTGATGTTTGAAAATCAACAGAAAGAGAAAAAAAGAGAAAAACATTTTTCCTAGGATGTGTTGAAGACAAAAACAGAGCTAAAGGAAGATTGTATATTGGACTTTCATTCATCAGGTAGACAGAAACACGATTGTCTGCTGGATATATAGGCGACTGCTAACACAGATCACCTGTCTGTGTTGTGTTTACAGCTCGTTGTGTTGATATCAAGTGGTCAATTAATCAACTAGAAAGTTGCCCTCAGTAGAGTGCAGATCTCCGCCAGGTGTGTCTCCAACGACCACTGCTATATTGTGTGATTGAATGAGTACAACCCACAATTGGCTTACCACTTCGTCTAGACACCAATGCGCTGTAAGGCGTCGTGAAATACACTTCATTCAAACTCAAAGACAAGTGTCGATGAATGCAGGCAAGTCATCGTATGAGACACGTTATACAATTTTGCCCAAACACAACAAAGGTAAACTCATCAAGCTGTCTGCCTACTCTAGCAGCGGCTGAGTTGCGGAAAGGTACAGCAATGTGTGTACTGGTAGTTCCGTTATCTGTTAGTGGTTAGCAGTTAGCCTAACACACCATCCATTCCGTTAGCTGTTAGCCTAACACACCGCAAACTGTTATCCCCTCTCTGTGGGTGCAGAGTAAACATTGCCATCTGTCATGTTGTAAAAAGTCAGAAACTTTTGATGTTACTCATTTTCCTTTTCTTTTTTAATTGAACTTGTTGAACACACTTCAAGACATTGTTTTTTTTTTTTTTACATCTGGGCTTATTTGCTTTCTTGCATAAATGAGAGCATTGATATCACTGTTGTGTCTGTCTGTTGAAGTTATGAAGCTACACCCAGCAGTCAGCTAGCTTAGCTTGGCACGTAGATTGGATACAGAGGGAAACAGTTAGCCTGACTCTGACAAACAATAATTAACATGTCATATATATTTTGTTTAAAGAAGTGTAAAAGTGACTCCCTGGAGTCTCAGACTTGAAAGAGTGTGTAAGCAAAACCTCAACAAAGCTTAATTAGATATTTTGATACCTTGTCAAACTCTGGCATTAATATCTCAGCAGTAAGGCAAGGTCATACTGAGGCGGAGACACACACTACACAAGGATTGAGCTCCGTCTGAGATGGGTTTTTTTTTCGAAAACTGTCTTGAATAGCTTTGTTCGCTTTCTGTAGCATTTCCAGCCAAAAAAACCCAAAACACACACTAAAACAAACACTGGTATAATGCTGTTTTGTGGGTGGACTGAAATGACCCTCAGCCCATTACAAATAGAAAAGTCTTGTTAAAAAAAGTTTAAATATCCTTCTAAAACATAACTCGGGGCCACACCAAAAGGTGAGGAAGAGAGGGTGAAGGAGCAGGGCTGGAGAAGCAGTTGTCTAGCTGTAAGGTAGTAAAAGCAAGAGGGCATGATGAAGCTCAACACACGAACATTTTGCTCAAGGATATTGTAAGTTTGAAGTCCATGCAGGGGGTGACGCATCATTTGCACGCGAGAGAAAGAGATAAAACACAGAAAATTTCCGTCCTCAGTAGACGTGTCACTGCTTAATATCGGGCAAATGGGGTGAGAAAAAGTGGAGGAGCGGGAAGCTGAATATTTTAGCTGCAGTCGTGGTTTGGGGGTTGAGGAAGGAAAGTGAATAAAAATCAAATGGCAGTATTGTGTATTTCATATTGTGCATTATAGGGGCCTGTAGCCATGGAGGAAATGACACAATTCTTTCCTCGGAGAATGATTCAAAGGCTTTTGTTCTCAGCAAAAGAAAACCTCCCCAAGCACTAGTCAGGTGGACTGAACATGAGCTTGTCACACAATATAAAAAACTCAAGTCTACAAGGTTTCACTTCCTAATTTTCAGTGAATCACTAATGTCCCTTGAAAGCTCAGACAGCACAAGACGCCAGCAATAATTGGGAAGCTCATATCAGTCGGCGTTAGACTACAATTTCACCTGGTGCATCCAGAATAGGCTCCACTGTCTCTGTGGACGTTAAATTCCACATTGGTCATGGTTTTATTTCTTGCCACCTTTTTTTGACGTTTCTTTGCTTTGTACGTGTTTAAGTGTGTTTGTGGTTGTGTGTTTGTGAGTGTGTGTGTGTGTGTGTGTGTGTGAGGCAAAAGATACAATCACAAGAGTGTGGTGAGTGTAAGCCACAGCAATAGTCTGCTGCCTGGTAGGACTTCATTTTCTCTGTTGTGATCTCATATTCTCTCTTATGATACAATAAGAGATAGAGATAATACGGATAGTGAGCTATTGTAGATGAGACAGGCATGTGCCATTTAAACACACTATGTGGCAGTTATTATTGTACTCTGATCTGTTTGGGCTATTGTATTATTTTTCATACCGTTCTGTTCCATTTTATTCCACTCCGTTGTTTGTCAACTTCTCTTCTCGCTCTATTCCATTCTATTGGTGGTATTCTAGTTGAGTTTGTTTGTTGTATTCTATTCTATCTGTCTATTCTGCTCTATTCTATCCTATCCTGTTGGTTCTATTCTATGGTATTCTAATGGTTCGATTCTATAATATCCTGTTTGGTTGATTTGATTATTTTCTATTCTATTCTATTTGTTCCATTCTATTCTATGGTGTCCTGTTTGTTCTATTCTGTTGTTCTATTAGGTTCTAATCTATTTGTTCTATTCTGGTCTATTCTGTATGTTCTGTTCTATCTATTCTATATTATCCTGTTTGTTCTATGCCATTTTTTTCTATTCTATTTGTTCAATTATGTTCCATTCTATTATTTTCTGTTCTATTCATATAGAATAAATACCCCTGTTTATTCTGTTCTATTCTTTTTTGTTGTTCTATTATACTTTTCCTACCCCCTCCTGTCCAAATTCTGTGTTGTATTATGTTCTGTTGTGTTTTGTTCTATCATTTTCTATTTTATTCTATTCCTCTGTGTTCCATTATATTGTATTGTATTGCATTTTATTGTATTCCAATCCATGTCTCTGACTGGTGACACTTAGTGTTCATCTGTGTGTTAATGGGAATCTAAATGTTAATTTCTCTTGCCTTCTAATTTATTGAGCCTCTACATTTAAAGATCTCTGTCCTCAGAAAACCGAATAATTCTAAGGCTACTGAATATCCAATAAATTATTTTTGAATTAACATAAAAATATAGAGATGAAATCTGGTTTGCACATGTGAATAAAGGCAAAGAAAAGATAAAGGAAAAGAGAGACAGCCAACAGAAGAACTGAAAATCCAAACCAGCTCCAATCCAAACCACATAAAGTTGAATTATTGATAGAAAGATAGAATTTGGGAAAGATAGAATTTGGGAAAGATAATGTTGCAGATGGATTTTAATTTGCTTCAGCGCTGCAGCCATCAGCTTGATGACAAATGTTATTCCAAATTCAGGACTACTTTATATAACAGTCGATTATTTTCAGAGGCAGACTCACTGAGGGATAAAGGCTAATTTCCTATTTATTGCTATGATGTCACCGGAAAAATAAATGAACCTTGAGAGAAACTTTCTCAGAAAAATCATAACAACAACAACAAGTACAACTCATATTGTTAATCTCTGCAGGTTGTATAACGGCACCAAATGACAAAATATAGTGCAGGACAGGTTTGAGCAAACACCAACCCATTAAGTATTTTGGCTGTGTGATTTGAGGACGTTAGCAAGCCAACAACAACAACAGCAACAACAACAACAACAACAACAATAACAACAACAACAACAAGCAGCTTCTATATGATTTCTACTCTGGCTAATCTCTTGCAGAAGTCTGTTTGGCATTGTGAACCATGAGCTGAGCAATGACCAACACAGAGCTGCAGTGGTTAATATCCGACATGCCCTGAAGGAGCACAAACTTCTGCTTGGCTGCACATGGCTTCTAATGCCAAGCTCACACATGATGGAGTTGCAGAAGAAAGTGCCTGCCTCTTGGTACATTGCCTTTCTCACTGTATACAGTTTATAAATTAAAGTAAGAGAGAGCTGTAATTGTGACTTTGTTCTGGGGATTTTTCTCCGATGGATCGCAGGAGGATGTAAACAGGCTTTCAGAGCAGTTGGGAGAGGAGCTAGCCAGCATCAGAATGTGGCTCTTTGACAGAAACATTTTTAATTAACAGAGATATTGTTCGAGGATCTAGTAAGTAAAGTAATAAAGTATCAGTCGGATGACTTTGCTGTAATTCTTTTAGCAAAGTCATCTGTCTGATTGCACGAGATGGTAATAGAGGAGGAGCGAAGCACTGCAGGTCCACAAGACAAAGACTTGTATTTGCTGCCAGAAAAGCCAGGTTCCTGGAACCGCGGATGTTGGTGGCGTCTGCCATCCAGCTTGATTAAACGTCATTTAGAATCTGCCAAGAGATTTGTCCAAGATCAGGAAGCAGGAAATACAACTCGCTGAAACAAGCTGACCACAGTGTTGGAGACCTGAATCACCACTTTTAGTCTTTATACATTGTAAAGGCTTTCTAGCACAGTACCATAGAAACATCCAGACTCAAGAGCTTATTTTGATTCTTAACTTCAAGATATATTTGCTTCAGTTAATACTATTTTAACATTTTTAATTCAGAAACAACTAGCATTTCTGTATTAAATACAAAACCCTCAGGTGAGATGATACAGTGTCATGTAAGCTACATTTTTACAGTATAGCATGCATGCCTACCGTCATCGTTACATCAAACCAGTACACCAATTTGCTACCAGTGTTATAATTGTCCCAACATAGAAATATTAACAACATAAATCATTTAGAGTACTTAAAAAAGACTATTTCCTGAAGCCATGAAAACCTTCCTCTGTACTCCAGTCGACATTGGTACAGTCTGAGTTCCCCCTACAACAAAACCAATTGGAAGATCTCACTTCCTGTGTTTGGCAGTTTGGACCCAGGTAGTATGGATGAGATCTAATTTACAAAACGTGTGGTTGATTGAAGTTGCATATAACTCATGAATGAATTTGAATGAAATGTATTTTTTTAAATGCAACACATTGACTGTGCTCCTGATAAAGTAAAACTTCTCATGTGGAGTTATGAAACGGCCCACTCAGTGAATGCTCCAGTGAAGCTGGTCTAATCCTGACCAGGTTTAAGTAGATGCATTTTCTTTGGTAGTGGCAGTGTAGAGGTGAGAGGAGAGGAGCGATGACGTGACAAAAGTATCCAGTCAGACTTGAACCAGGTACTTTGCAATTATATGATTAGTGTCTTCAACTCCTTGGCCGACAGGATGCTCGATCTATTCTTTAATTCATTTAATTATTAAAGAATTGTGACCAAGATATATTCTGAGCTGGACATTTTACAGTTTTACAATAAACTGTGGCAGACAAACACTGTTTCTTACTAAATTTCATCATGCTGTTGGCATTTCTCTACTGCAATAGTTATCAGCTAACAGACCAATACTGGTACATCTGTGACCAGCTAAAAACATCCAGTAATAAAAGCCAGAGTAATGTAGCGGTCAGGCTCTAGTAAATCATTTGTTAGCTGCAGTAATCTCTGGTTTGTTGCTGGTAATGGGTTTTGGTTGTGCTCTGTACATTGTTAATGTGCCGTGCCGGCATTGCTGTCACGTTACTCATAATATGCATATACCTTTAACCACAGGGGGAACAGTAAAATCAGGGATTTTGTTACAAGAGTGTTATTCAATCATCATATCTTTTTTAAAGTTTCTATTACGTCTCGAGAATACTGAAAAATATAAAATCTAATATAAAGACTCCTTGACTTGGAAGGACGAACAAAAAGTCACTCTTATCAGATATCAGCTCTTTGTTTACACCACAAACTGCAGGAGGCTGGTGGAAAGTCTTTCTGTTGTTGTATATCTAGGCTCACTGTGGGCAGACAGAAAGACAGGACGGGCCGGCCGATCACTCAAGTTTTTCTTTTTTTTTTAACTCTTTACTCTTATTCTGCTCATCAGGAGGACCTGCAGCAGTTGATACTGATGCCTCTCCCAAACATTGCCATTCTGGGGCAGGACCCCATAACAGGTACAAGATAACCACACAATCCTATCAGTGCCATATCTTTCAACAGCAAGAAAGTAATTATACTTTATATATGAGTCCATATCTCTGCTATCTGCGAGACACATTAAGGTGATAACAGAGGATGGTGTGGAGGGGAGATGATGATGGTGATGATGATGACAGTTATTTCTGTGTCCTCAGAGGCAGCCGTGGAAGAGCTCAGGCGACTGCTTCTGCTCTTACTAGGATGTGCTGTGCAGGTGATCACACACTCACATGACCATCATGCTTTTTGAAGGTTGATAATGACACCCGTATTGTGTTACTGAACCTGGACGGACCAGTATTTTGGTCTAATTGTAAATAATTTAAATAATCATTGGATGTATAATTCTATGTCCCCAAAGAATAAATCCTAATAACTAAGGTGATCCCTAGTTTTTTTTTACATTTCCAACACTTCAGTTCATGACAGTAGAACTTTTATTAGGATTATATTATTATCAAAATAGCTGCAGATTCATTTTCTGTCAATTGACTAATTGTTTCAACTCTAGACACACACACACACACACACACACACACACACACCTACCTCTGACTCCACGTCATCCCTCTGTGTCTGCAGTGTGAGGAGAAGGAGGCGTTCATTCAGCAGATCCAGTCTCTGGACATTGAGACCCAGGCAGCCATTGCCAGCTGTATCCAGCAGGTTGGTTCAAGTGCTCAAATCAAATCATATACCCCCCCCCTCCCCCCCTCCCCCCCAGAATATAAAAGGCATTCAGTGACTGACCGTATGAGGAGATATTATCCAGAGGACCTCAATGAGGATTTTTGTCCCAAAATAAGATTGAGTAAAATAATTTCTTCACTGTCTGGCCTGTAGGCAGCGAGAGTGAAACTAATACACCTTCTGCTGGCGCTTCAAGTAAGCGTGAAAATGAGTTACTTGTTATTCTGCCGGCAGCCTTATAAGGACCTCTGGGTGCCCCTTGCTGCCACCATAGGATGGATTATCCACCTCTCCACCTCTGTCACATCATCCTCTCTCCTTCATCTTTTTCCTGTCATTCTCCGCCGTCCTCTCCAATACAGACTAAATGCCAAATTGTACTCTTTTAAAAATGCCCCCCGTGAATAATTGGCGGCATTACAAAAGCAACATGTTGCATGTCAGTGTGTCTGAATTACAGTAACAGCATGTTGCCCAGCAGCCGTTTTTGTGCCAGGTTTCTCAGCCTCATAAATCATAGCAGGGAGAGGTGCTCTTCCTGTGTGGATGGATGCACCCCCTGCTTGCTGTTCATATGCCTTCCACCCGAGGATATTTCAAACCTGTCTACATAATCATTAGTTTTGCATGCATTACTCACACATTTTTGGACACGCTTCCCTAACAGTTACATTTCCAAATAAATGTGAGAAAAAGTTATTTTTTTCCTTTTATAAACAGATGCATCGCCGCTTGGTATTCACACAGCCTTCACACTGCCTGGATTGTTTGTCCCAAGATCTGCCATTTTTGTGTCAGGTTTCCCAGACGCACATTGATCTTATCATGTGAACCTGAGAAACTGTCCTTGCTGCAGGTGACTCAGGATCCTCGCATGGTGCTGCCGCTGAGGTGGGAAGAGCTGGAAGAGGTTGAAGGTGCAGACTTTCAGCTGGTGTTCACCTCTATGACCAAACAGATCCAAAACCTGCTGACACAGAGAGACACACAACTGGAGGTATGTATACAAACATACACTGAAAGGAATATGTTTGACATTTTGGAGAATGTGCTTTTTTTGCTTTCTTGCCGAGAGTTAGATGAGAAGATTGATACCAATCTCATGTCTGTTTTCTTTGCTAAAAGGTAAAGACCTGGACCTAAATAATTACCCATATATGAGTTTGTTGTCTTAATTTGACTCCGTCCTGCATTTTCAAATCCACAGACATTCCACTGAGATCTTTTACCAGTTTTTGTGGGATTAAAAGTCATTATTGAAGAGATTATCTCTGTTTTGAACAGTTAATACTGTTCTAAACCCTGAGCTACAACCTTGATATGAGATCAGAGCAACATGAGATATTCAATTTTGATCAAATCCTTTCCACTGACTCAAATAAGCCTGGATGTGTGTAAACATATAAAACAAAGATCTTTGTCAGAAAACAAACAAAAGTAAAAGGTGTATAAACACTATAATGACACTGTCAGTTCAAAATCAACATTGACATTATTACTCACAATACGAAACATCTTTTGAGTATCCAACATAGTTCATTTTAGTTTTGATGTAGTTGATATAATTCTCCTATACTTTAGCTTGCGTGTCTCTCATCCTTTCCCCAAATCTTCCTTTCTTTTCTTCCCACTTCTCTCTCGCCCTTTCTCTCCCAGAGAATAGCAGAGCTTTGTCGGGAGCGAGAGGCCCAGTCTGACTCACCCACGGCGCCCCTGGGTGGTCATAGCGAGGAGCCACCCCAAGGTCTGGCACTCCAGCTGGCAGACAGCAAGGCCAAACTCCGCCGCCTTAAACAACAACTGTGAGTGTGTGTGAGTGAGTGTGTGTCTGTGAGTTTAGAAAAGTTGTGATAAAGGTCAACTTGAAAAATTTGCAAATGATTTTGTCACACAAAACTGTGAGTTGTTACTTAGCAGCGAGTAAGATACAAATCAGGCACTCACTGCTTTACTTTATCACGAAGGTCACTGTTGGTCAATTATAATTTCTGCATAGAAGTGTCTTTTTTTATCATTTATAGCAGACATAATGTTCTCTCACTTTATTTTTTTAGCAGCCAATGTATCACACAAAAAACATCAACGAAATACTGTTTTGAAAAATAGTGTAATTGCATTGTTTGACCTTTTTTTTTTTTTAGGGAAGATAAAGGTGATCAGATATTGGATTACAACCTGGAGATTCAAACCATGGAGGACCAGCTCAAGAAACTTCACAAAGAGGTATGGACTGAAACCTGGTGCTCTGATTTAGTTGTTTCTCTGTCAAAGAGAAAGAGATACCCTTGCTTTGGATACAGGGAAAGACTTTATCACACATAAAGCTTAACGAGTTTGGCAACTGCTGTGATATACTGTATATTAGGCCTGAAAAAACATTACAGCACAGCCAGCAGCACAAAACACAGGTGGCTTTTTTAATATCCAATAAGTCAATTCTCCTAGGTTATGTATTTAGCCGCAATCAGACAACACACATTGCAGCCAACTGCAATTTCGCCCAGAAGAACATTGTTGTTAAACTTCTTACTCAGCTAAACTTGACATTTTAGACGCTCAGAATCCAAAACAAAACAACAACAGGAATGATACTGGATAACATGAGGCCTTCGCCGAATCATTTCCTTGTATTTTTGTATTGTAGTTTTGCTAAATTTACTTACAAGAGCTTCAAACAATGTTCCCAAATCACAGTTTGGAAGATTTGTGGACACTATTTTGTGCTACAACAAAATATGGAGCATATCTTCATTTAAATTGCTTGAATATTCACTAATACTGCGTAGCTCTGACCTTAATCTAAACCTAGTCCTAATATTCACTTTAAACAAAAATCTTGGTGATTGTATTAGACTTTGTCAACGTTTGTTAACTACAGATCTTAGATCTGTTCACAACCTTCTTTGACCTCATCCCTATTGGTGTGTGTGTCTCTGTGTGTGTGTGTGTGTGTGTGTGTGTGTGTGTGTGTGTGTGTGTGT